TTTATTATGTTAAAGTTTATTTTATTATTTTTTCACATTGACTGAATTTTTTTCATTTGGGATTTTTAAGTTTTCTTTCATGTTAACTAGTTTTGTATTTATGTTGAAGTTAAAGAGCAAAAGTACCACAAAAGTTTTTTCACCACAAAAGCACACAAAGTAACCACAAAAGTTTTTCCACCACAAAAGCACACAAGTAACCACAAAAGTTTTTTCACCACGAAAGCACACAAAGTAACCACAAAAGATTTTTCACCACAAAAGCACACAAAGTAATCACAAAAGTTTTTTCACCACAAAAGTGCTTCGTTTCTTCAATTTCAAAAATTTGTAACTGAATTGAATTTTACTAAACTTATAGTGGCAAAAAATAAAACAAATGAGAAGCCTTACACTGAGGAGACAACAAAAAACACTTTGACTAAGATTGAAAATGGTGAGTTAAGCTTAACAGGCGCAGTTCAATTGTACCGCATACCAAAATCAACGTTATCCGACCGAAAATCAATTAAGGCTTTAGTAGTTGGTAGTGGCAATACAACAAAATTGAGCCCTTTTATCGAGTTAACCTTAGTTCACCTACTTCAGATGCTTGGCGATTGGGGCTTTGGTAGACAAATAGATCAAGTTCAAAGTTTAGTTAGAGACAATTTAATTGAAAATGATGAAACGTTATTCAAAAATGGAACGCCTGGCCGCAAATAGTACAAAGAAGTTATGTGTCGATGGCACTCAGAACTAAGTGAAAGAAAAGCTACAAACATCGCATCTTTGAGAGCAGGGTCATCTACACCAGAAACATTTGCCCATTATTTTGATGTTTTGAAAAAGTATTTTGATTTAGAAAAAATATATTTTAGTAAAGCCATGTATTTGTGGAATTGTGATGAAACTGGGTTTAATGGTGACAAAGGCGATGCAAAAGTAATTATCAAAAGAGGTGCAAAGTGTCCGCTAGTATTGCCGGAAATAACAAAAAGATAAACTACACTGTTTTCAATTGTTTAATGCTGACGGAATCCTTTAAACGCCTTAGTTGTTTGCAAATCAAAAAATCGGCTCTATGATAATTGGCTTAAAGGAAGCCACCAAACACACTTTACAAAACATCACCAACTGGTTGAATGGAAAGTAATCAATTTTTGCTGTTGCTCGATAAAATGTTTATTCCACACATTCAAAAAATTAGTGGTTAACATATCTTACTTTTGGATGGCCACAGCACACACGTGTCATTTTTTGCAAGACGCTTACAAGCGTCTTGCAAAAAAAGCCAGATATGTAAGAACAGTAGCTGGCCAAGCTTTTACAAAAGAAGCATAGTTAAACAAGAAGAGAAGAAGAAGACGTAAAGCTATTAAAACGAACATATGTTGAAATTGCAGCAGCAGAAGTAGAAACTCCTGCCAAGAAAACAAAAAAAAAGTTCGAAAAGAGCCCAAAGTTTTTTAAAAATGAAACGCCAGAGATGAAAAGTTTTTGTGTGTGTGAGTGAAAAATCTAGTTGCAGTGAACCTCGTTTCCCAAAAAGTTATAAAAGGCGAATAATTCTTTAACACGAAAAGTTGCAGAACCTAGTTTATAAATTGTTTATTTCATTTTAAGCTCAAGCTTGCTTATGTTTTTTTATTTATTTTTTTCTAGTTTTTTCTGTTTGTATTATTATTACGTGGATATTTTACCAATAAAAATAAAAATATTGAATTTATTAATTTATCTATGTTTTTTTCATATAATTTGGAACTGTCCGCTTCTAGGAGCAATTTTCCCAAAAGCGGACACTTTTAAAAAAAATAAAAGCATATTTTCCATAAAAACTTGACATTAAATTTATTTTGAAATCTATTTATTAATTGTTTACGCTACTGATTAGAGGATTCCTTAAATCACAAAAAATTGACATAAGCAAAGAAAACATTTATTTTAAAAATACTTCTATATGTACTCAAAAAATATATATAATGTTTGCATAAAAATAATTTTTCGTCCTTTTAGAAGAGGTTGAAAGTATTGTATAAAGCATAAATGCATATGGAGACTGGGGTGAAAAGAGACATTGTTCTTTATCTCCCCAGGAGATAAAGAACAATGTCCTTAAAGCAGAAAAATGAATAACGCAAGATTACTTGTGTTAATTTTAACTACTGTTTTAATTATTTTTGACTTTATTTTTGAGTTTCATTAAAAAAAAAAATTATTTTTTATTTATAAGTTTATGAACTTATGACTATTTTTTCTGAATTTGAAGACGTCATCAACAGTAAGTTTTTACTTATTGGTCATATATATTTTTATGTGCATAATCTTTTATTAACTTCCAAAACCTTTCCAAAAGCTGCCGTAGCGTAGTGGTTAGCGCGCTTGCCTCAGAAGTTAGAGATCCATGGTTCGCCACCTTTGGGCAAGTTTTATAACATCGGTAAGAAAGGAGGAGTGAACTTCCTTTTAAATGTTCTTCCATGGTGCTCTCTGATAAGACCGTTAGGAGTTATTAGGGCACTTTAAATAAAAAATAAAAATAAAATAAAGAAAAGCCTTATATAAAATTACAAAAAATGATTTTCTCACGACTGCTTATGACGAGTTGATTTGAGACTGAAGAATTGGAGTGAAATAGAACACTACCTAATTTCATCTCCAATTAAATTTTGCTATATTTTTATCTTTATAACTAATTGTTTTTAAAAAAAGACTCAACTGCATCAATTTTTTTTTTTTTTTTTTTTTGTATTTTCAATGTTTACTATGTTAATATTCAATTAAAGTCTGTTATATATAAAAAAATCCAGCAGAGGTAGCGGTCAACTTTGTCTTTTCGAGAAACAACACAAAAGTATAATATTTCAAAATCAAGTTTATAGCGAAAAATAAAGATCAATAAATAAACTAATCACAATCAGTAAATTTTTCACAGGGAACAGGAAGATCAGCTTTTCTAATATTTGTGGTAAGCTTTTAATATTACGGACTTATATATAAAAAAATCTTAGCAACTTGCATACCAATATGTATTTAAAAATGACATCAAAATACTAAAAACTGGATAAGAAATCTACCAGTCTTGAGGAAGTGATACCACTGATCAGTTGAGCAACTCGTTTTAACTGCACAAATATTGATGTTTTTTATCAAAACAAAAAACGCTCCAGAAGAGTACCAGCGAGAACTGCAAAACTCGATGTTCTGGATAACTGGATGAAAATAGTTTTTTTTTAGTAGTTTGGTTTGCTTGTGAAGTATAACTATGCAATAATCATCTATTAATTTTTATGATTGGCATACTAATTAATATCTTTACAAAAATAATCACAAAGTTCATATACCAATTGATATAATAGACAAAGCTAAGAAAAGTACTTTTAACTTTGTCACCCAATTGCACCCACAAACTATAGCTTTTACAATTGAATCGACTCATTGGTATTTGGATTATTAAAAAGCTTTGTACCAACAATAAAGGTATGATGTTAAAAAAACAAAAAAGCAAAGAAAAAATTAGCTGAAAAGTTGTATCCAAAGATATTATGCTAACGCTCTATGCAACTTAACATTCAAAAAAGCATTTTTGTCAACCAAAATAAAAAATACAATACTTTAAAGTATTTTTAATTTGAATGCCACATTCAAATTAAAAAGACAAGTTACGTATGTTAGTCTGCTATATTATGAACAGAATCTATATAAAACGAATAAAAATATGCTTAGAATAATGCTGTTATCACTCCAACTCATATTCCACTTTCACTCCAATATGCTTTGTCACTGCATGTTAGTGTAAAATAGGACACGAATTGGGGTGATAAAAAAAATTAGAAAAAAATGAATTCTTGAGGACTTGTCATATATTGTCTTACAAATTTTTTTTTTGACTGATCACAGTCTTTATTATAAAAATTTTTTAAACAAAATCAGTTAAAACAATGCAATCAATAAAAATTACAAATCAGAACACGAAAAAAAGTAAAAGTAAACTATTTTAAATTTCAAACTTTGAACATTTATTATCCTCTGCAATTATTATCCTCTGCAATTATTATCCTCTGCAACTATTATCCTCTGCAACATCTATGTAAATTATTATCCTCTGCAACATCTATTGGAAATTGTTATCCTCTGCAACATCTATTGGAAATTATTATCCTCTGCAACATCTATTGGAAATTATTATCCTCTGCAACATCTATTGGAAAGACTTCTTCATGCAATTTTTCCAGACTTCAACTGTATGCAGTGTCTTTTTGATTCACCAAATTGATGATATTATAATTCCAGTAGTTATTCACTAGTACTTCAAATATTGTAATTCGAATTATGGATGAGAAAAAGAATTGTCTTGAGCAAGTTCTCTATCATGTTTTTACTAGACAAGCGTGCTTGTAATTGATTCTTGTAGTCCGTAAAGTCGATAAGTTCACAATATTAAATTTTTTTATTATCATAAAATCTTAAGAAAGAAATTGAAATTTAGCAAACTGAAAACCGGTTCTATAGGCAAGATCGCTTCGCCCAAACTGATATTTGGACTAAATTAATTTTTTCATTTTCTGTTTAATTTTATCTTTCTTTATACACATTTCGCAATTTCAGAGAAATTAAAAAGAAATAGGAAATTAAAAAATTCTTTTTTGAAAAATATAAAAATATGACATGGTCATGTGTTGTATTATTCACTAAACTCTTCAGCTTTATTATTTCAACTATTCAACCACATTAAAACTAAATAATTTAGATGGTAATTGCAATATTTGTCAAAATGTTTATTTCAGTATATAAATATAACTTGAAATACTTTTTGGTCAAAATATATAAAATACTTGTTTAAGTATAAACTCTTTAATGAATTAAGTTTTGAAAGTAAAAATTGATGAATTTATATTATTGTCTTATTATTACTATTACCATCATTTTTTTTTTAATACTTTCTATCATTTGTTATTGTTAATCATGATTATTAACAGAAAGCGCTGATGTTTAAATAAAAACAAAAAAAATAATTTTACCGCTTTTTCAGTTCTTTTTTTAAGTAGTTGGTATGCTTCTGATGATTTCGTATACAACGGATGAGTGAAGAGCCGTAGTATTTCAAACTTTACCAAGAAATTCTTACCTTGATCAATGAGAAGTTTAGTAAATAATATCTTATGACAAAATGTTTGCAGAGTAACTTTTTTTTAACTTTGTAAAACAAGTAAATAAACAAATAATTGTATACTTAATAAATATTTTTTAGGGTTTTTACTGGTATAACCAGATGACATAATTTAATATAATATAAATTAAGGTTGTTACTGGTATAACCAGATGACATATTAAAAAAAGACACACAACCTTGTATTAACGTTCTACTAACGTTCTAACGTTAATTCAATGTTAATACAAGATTGTGTGTCTGCTGGGGTATTATTAAGCGGACGTCTATATGACAATTAACCGGATGGCATATTAAAATACAATTTTTAAAAATTCTATTTTTAAAATTTGTACTTTAATATGTAATCCGGTCAATTGCCATATAGTTGTCCGCCTAATAATACCCCAGCAGGTACACAACCTTGTATTAACGATGAATTAACGTTAGAGCGTTAATAGAACGTAATAACAACTTTGTGTGCTTGCTGTAAAATGAACACATAATATATAAAAAAGATGTATTTCTGACACAAATAAAAATTTATCTACCCACCCAGCATTTTGATGCGGGTACCGTGTGGGACCCTACGGGATGTCAAATGGGAACCGTACGGGATTTGTTCCTAGGATCTATACCATACGGGCCAAATAAAAAAAAGCGAAAAATTTATTGGCTGCTTTTTCTTTTTTCTCTTATTGACCCCAAAATTTTCCGGATATACTTTTATATTTTTTACTATGTATAACTTAGATTTTTTATACCTTAAATTAACGACAATTTGTTCAAAGCAATTTTTTTCATTTTAAACAAATTAAATGATGAATTTAATTATGATAATTTTTATGAAAGTATAAAAAGCTAAATGTTTTATATGTAAATTGAAAACACAAGGATATATACATGTATGTTTTATTAAATAAAATAAATTTTTATTACATATGTAATCAATATATACCTACAAAATCAAGAAGATATACTTACTAAATCAAATCATAATATTTAATTGTAATATGTTGAGACTACCTAATCCCATACTTTTGGATAAAATATATTACAAAAAAAATTTACTCTAGTAACATTTCTTTTACAACTTTTTTCAACTAACGTATGTTTGGGTGCTGCATAATTAAACTAAAAAACAAAACAAAATTTATCAAAAAAGCTTCTTAAAGAAGCACTTTATGCTTGCTTTGGTAATGCTCGAGATAAAGGCAAAAATGGCCGAAAAGAACGAATTTTAAATGCAGTATCAAACACAGAAAAGAACATATAGAATGTGCATAATGCAGCAGCAAACGTGCAACGTAAAGAATACAGCAGTAAACACGTATATATATATATATATATATATATATATATATATATATATATATATATATATATATATATATATATATTGTTTACACATTTATTTAATAAAACATTAATGTATGTCCGTGTGTTTTCAATTTGCATATAAAACATTTAGCTTTTAAAACTTTTATAAAAAATTATCGTAATTAAATTAATAATTTCGTTTGTTTAAAATGAAAAAAGTTGCTTTAAACAAATTGTCGTTAATTTAAGGTATGGTCATTTAATTAAACAAGTTTATTTTAAGTAAAAAAAGTATTCTATCAACATGTTGCTCTCACGTTCGGGGCAGATGTCGCAAAAATATTAAGGCTTTTTTTGTTCCCAAGCTCTCCAATCATCGCATTTTTTTGCAAAGCATCCTTATTTTACATGAACACAGACATATAAACTTTTTTTTTTCTTCATGTCCCGTTAGCTCAGAGTTAGTTATCTCAAATATCATAATAATATGTACATAGTGGACCAAAAATAGGCACTTCAACATTTAAAAAAAAAAGTAAAATGGAAACAAAACAAACTCCATAAGTTAGGGCTAAACATTAACAGTTAAAAAAATAACAAATTTATTGTTATATTATTATTAGTGAAAAACTTATGCAATTTTTAAACCACAAAATTAAAGATTTTATTTTGCATGCATCTATGTTTCCGTTTTTTTTTTTGGTTTGTTTTTTTTTTTTGGTTTTTTTTTTTTTTTTTTTTTTTTTTTTGTTATATAGGTGCTCCCAGAAGCCTATATGGTCTTATCACAGAGCACCGCGGGAGATCATTTAACAGGAAGTTCACGTCTCCTTCAGTACCAATATTGCTTGTTGGTCTAGAGCTGGCGTCGAACCTGGAACCTCTGGATTTTGAGCCAGAACTCTGACCATTGCGCCACGGCTACTTTTACAAAAGTAGCAATAAACAAGACCATTATTATTCAAAACTAAGAATATGAAACCAATAAAAAATATAGTAAATAGAATTTTAATGACTAGGAAACAACCCACCTTTGACGTAATAAATCTATG